GCCTTCACGTAAACCGCATTTGCCGTAATGGCGCGGCACACACTTTAAAAAACGAAACAATACATTTTTCTGTCTTCCTTACATTGAAACACGGCAGATAAAATACATCGTTAGCCAGCCAGGGGCTCGTCGCGAGCGTTAGCAACGAGAAAACAGCCTGGATCGTTGTAGCTGGCTAACAATTCACCTTATCTGATCGGTTCTGCTGTGTTCCAAAGTACGAAGCACCTACAAACCACTGAAGTACTACACAAGAATTTTTATTTTCCGTATTTCAAAGCATTAGTCGGTCTAAAACGGCTGACGTGTATAATATTAACGCATCAATGTTTCATAAAGACTTTCTAATATCTTTAGTCGTTATATAACCTATGTACCTAAAACTACGTCCTTAAACACTCAAAAACTTTCAGTACAAAATTCCCTGCGCCTGTTACTCCCTCTGACGCAACCCTCAACTCACCGCGGCCTCGTACCAAGACTAAATCCGCAAATCAATCAATTACGATTTCTCTGCTAGTAGCAATGATGTTATAATGATAAAGATGATCACAACAACCCTTAGGGCATGCGATCACTGAATCGTGTGTTGGTTTATCTCTCTCTGTGTTACTATGGAGATAATTCGCTCGGATGTTCGACGACAAATCTCACGTGACTTGCGTAATGAAGATTTACTATGCAAGGAATAAGATTCATTGACATCAACGGATATTCTCGGCAATAAACAAAACAATCAAGAAAAGCGAAAGAAATTTCCCTTCTAGCTCTTCGAGACAGAAATTAGAACTGGCATCCCAAAATTAAAACGAAATGTTACTAAAATTTAAGTAGGAAAAATAAAAATTGTGAACTGTCAAGGGGTGTACAAAATTCATTCACATAAAATCAACCACAAAATATTCACTTCAAGGGCTGTATTTTTATTCAGTAAATGGAAAATAAAAATTGTGAACTGTCAAGGGGTGTACAAAATTCATTCACTTAAAGGGCTGTATTTTTATTCAGTAAATGGAAAATTTTGAATATAAAAGTATGATGAGCCCTCTTTATAAGAGTGTGGATAAGACAAACTTCTAAAACCTATTATTCAAATAAAACAAAATAAAACTTTCACACATAAAAGCAGTGAAAAGTAGAGTAGGATGTCGAAAGAGATATCAGTTCAGTCCCTATAAAGTAAACAGGAAATTTGACCAAAATATGTGATCAACTTCGGACACCTTCCAGTTAATAAATTAATTGAAAAGTAAAACATCTAGTTCCAACAAATTGCTCAATAATAAGTTAAATATGTAGACTGAAACGCACAACTGTCTCTTAAATTTTTTACAATTTAATATTTTAAAAAACTAATATCGTCGAACATTTTAAGTCCATTCATTAATAAATTAAAACGTAATGTCAGCATTACTAAAACATTTTGCTTACACAAGCACTTACATAATAAAGCGTGTATTTCAATATAAAAACCGTCAGAAACTTCGCTAGTTGATATTATTTACTGTCAAGGAACTTCGTTCCATACAGAAACTGCATTATAATAACCTTTGCCATGGTGTAACGATAACTTCCTCTTTGGGGATTTTGGGACTCGTTGGATAATATTTATAATGCACGTGAAATCATAATCTCGATAAAAGTTCATATTTCAGAATGCACTACATTAAATCATGTTATATTCTATAATTAAACAAGGATTAACTTTTTTTTTGCTATACATTATTTAATTTTAATTTTCATATTCAATTTTCTCAAACAATGCACTGAAATAAAAGTGTTCACTCACTATGACAATGTACTTCTACACCACGCTTCAAAATACATGTCTACGTGTTAATGCATCACAGCTCTCGTTGTAAGGAAAACATTGGCGATTATTTCAATTCATAGACGCTGCTTTGTTACAATTGACAACAAAAACTTTTCTTTACGTAATACTTTTGATTTTCCGATCATTGCTAGCGGGTGATTTGCAAGTGGCAAATATAATACTTGTATATAAGAAAATAATCGAAGTACTCACCACAGAAATGCTATTCCATTGTAACAGGAAACGGATGTAGATCCGTGGAGAAATTTGGCTGTACCTGCACAGTAGAATAAAACCATTCGCTTCATTATCCAGATGGCGTTGCCTGTCTTATTTATATTTTGTCAAGTACAACAGTTCATTTCTCTCATCTATTATTACTAATAAATTAGAATTTTTAGAAACACTGTAAGTTTTTCACTAGTTCCTTTCACACGCGCCGGCCTAAAAAAAATTAATTAGAACGATAATGGACGCCGGATAATTTTTTAACAAACGAGAAACAGAAAACGATCATTTACACTTCCGAATTTCTGTGATAAATAGAAAAAAGTATATATTTTTTTCCCATCCTTTCGAAGATAACATTTGCATAGTCTACAATGACTGCACGTATGCAGAATCTAAACATCCACTTCTTCACATCAAAATAAATCAAAACGTAGAATTATTTTCACTTATAATGAATTAAACTTACGTTATAAACATTCACTAACATCATTCATACATCTGAACCAAAAAAATTCAGACGACAAAGTTTATTATTTTATTTAAGTGCTATAAATAAAACACTTATATTTTGTTTCTGTTAAGTTCTTCAATATACTTTAAGATAAATCCAACGCACTTTTAATATTAACGTATAATGTCCTTGCATTAAATTCTAGTGCACATGTACGGACTCACATTTACACAAAATTAATTTGATGACTGTACACGATACTTCTTTCATCCCTCGCTGTAGTTTTGTTACAATAATCGTTCACTTTTACAAGTAAACGGATGTTTCGAAAGCTGAGACCTTTACCGAGTCGATTTTACGTCAATAGCTATGCAGCTTCGAAGTTAGAGGCGTGGGTTTAAATCCCAGTGGACGTGTTTTCACTGACGATGGCCCTGATTGGTAAGTAACACCTTTGAAAAGGGCACGCGAGGACTAGACGTACTTCATTCGACATTTTAGGGAGAAAGCTAGGCGTCTCGACGTACCACCGGCAACTGAGATGCTGCATGCGTATGTTCTTCTGTCCAGGGACAGAAAACAGCAAACAACTTCACTGGCAAAGACATTCCACTCGCACTATTTCTGTTCCCAACTACGTTTTGAGACACGTTATACGAATCCGGTAATTTCCATTATAAAATTCTTGGCTGGATTATTGAAAACTATGCAATTCTAGAATGGCGAAGACCCAAATGGAACTTCGGACAAAGATCTGACATCACCACAATGAACAGCAACACGAAATGCGCAATTTTTCGAAACAGAAGTGACGGGCGAGAACTGAATTTCTGTTGGCGACAAATATAAAGTCTTCTGTTATGATGTGCCGTGTAGTGTAGTAAATGCTGATCGACGTTTCAGAGGAGTCTCCTGCTCTATCATCACGGCAATGATCATCCACCAGAATACACGGTGATACATCGCAGAAAATATTCATCAGTGTAACGAGACATTTAAAAATCATATGGTGATACAAAAAATTTTATAATATTAATCAGCACAACAATCACCAGACTGTGAAACAAGTGAAAACAAATCTTCTTTTCCTATTCTATAGTAATGGCTGAGCGTTTATGTTCGTGTTAGCCCGGCTAACACATTGGAAAAAAAAAATTCCGTTTCGCTTTCGTGGTTCAGTGGTATTCCAAAAAAGGGAATACAGAAGAACCCATCAGATATAATACACCGATATCAGCTTCAGACAGCCAGGCGCTAGTGAGCGTAAGCCTCAACTAGCTGGCTAACAACACCTGGCTAGCTGCCTGGAGCTGATAACATTGCATTTTAAATGACCAATTCTTCTGTATTATCTTGTTTGCAGTACCAACGAACCACGAAAGGAGGACTATTTTTTTTATTTTTCGTTTTTCAAAATGTTGGCCGGGCAAACACGAACCCTCCGTCCCCGTTCAATGGGTAGAACATTTAATTCAACCCGGCTTAAGAAAACACCGATCTCAACAAATCATAGGTTTCATACGTCACACTTGCTAATACCCTGAAAAACCACATTCAAATGTGTGGAAAATAATGTACGAAAAGGGATGTCCACATCACACCACAAATGTTACGTGAATCAAATACGTAGACAGCTATCATTTCCCTAAATATAATTAACCAATTAATATTTGCAATGGAGAGGCGCCTTATTATCTGAGGTATGAACCGCATACAATTAAGGTTAGCGCCTCAAATAATACAGCTTCAAAAATGTCAACATCAGACTCTGTTGGGAAAAGTCAGTCGGCGAATGAACCCGAAAGTCGGTTACTTTGTTGGTTAGTTATTTCAAGTGTCATCAGACAACGTGGTCAAGTTCCGATCCGTTGTCGACTTCATTATCAGCGATGTTTTGGACGTTATTGAATTTCCATGCGGTACGAATTTTAATTGGTATTTCCGAGAAGGTTGAATGTTTTGGATTTCCATTAAACTGTTTGCTAATATTCGGTTTCATTGGCGTGGAAATGTTTCCTATGTATGCCTCGCTTGATGCTTTGTTAGTGTAAGTAATTTCGATTCTATCCGTCGCCTGTTTTCTACACTTTATCGCTTCTGAAACTCTGCATTATTTATGGTCTCTAACTTCTGCTTTGTACTTTTGAACCAGAAATTCAGAAGTTAATTTGTGCAATACTGAAATTGTTCTTTGCAGTCTACCGCAATGTTTTTCCAACCGGGTGTCCGCGAGCTGGGTAGATCCATATCGTATTTATTTGTCGAACGTTTTCGTAAATTTTAAGCTTTCCTTCATCACAGTTTTAATTCCAAAATCATTAACTTATTACTACACTTGGGTTCACTCATTTATTCGTCTGTTCGTTTATTAATTCTTTGTAATACATCAGCCTGTTCCGACCTAACAAAATCCAACAATTCTGTGTCGAGCGTAGTAAAAGTCATCATATAATGAAACATTTGTAGCGAATGTATAATTTCTGACGTCGGAGTTACCCGAATCAGCGTTGTCGGAAAACTAATCTCTACACGACAGGTCGCCAGGCATTCATTTTCTAAATTGCTGTCATTAAAATTACATAATTAAAACATCCTTTCAAACAGTCATGTCAAATACCGTGATTCGAGACGAAAACGAAACAAATATCTTATGGCGATGGAGATTCAAGCTAATAGCCAATTACTGTAAGCAAATTAAAAAAGTTAATTGGTGTAATTAGTACTAACAAGAAGTTGAATCAGCCTGCATAACATCGTTAGCTTAAGCATCATGAAAAATGTCTGGTGAACAGAAAAGAGGCGAACGAACTGCATGACGGTATTACGTCATGATGACAGGAATACCACACAAACAGCAATAAAAACATTCTTATACTTTACATAACAGAAGTATTTTGTTTGCAGTTTAAAAACGTTATTCAGCCTTAATTAAGTTTCTTTGCGGGAATACGGAACTCACAGAAATTAATTATAAACCAAATATTCATTCGAAATTCTTAACGCCAGTGACTTCCTGCCGAACGTCACAACCTAGTGATTACCACTCTTGCTGGAAATACGTGGTTCGAATCTTAGCAGGGAACGAAAATTTATAACCCATCGAAACCATAACAAATTTCCGCTAAGTACAGAGATGATTCAGTTCCCGGTAGATGCGAAAATATTTCTAGGCGCGTTGTTTCAGCTCGTGAATGACAGACATGTCGTGTCTGATCACGTGATACAAACTACCTCAGCGTTTGACACGTACATATAATAAATATTTAAGTTTTGTTTATGAAGAGAAAACAGAATGATTCTATAGTGTAATGCCGCACCTGTATTTTAATGTGGATTCGAATGTTTGGTGTCGACGAAATTGAAATTGAGAACAATTAAATCACCATAAATACTGTGGACAATTTCTGTGATAGATAGTGGTAACTGGCACTGTTACAAGTTCAACCACTGAATCCAAAGCTCGTCTAAATAATATTTAATTAATTCAGCCCGCACCGCAAAGAAAACACAACACTTCACCATTACAAAGCTCAAGACATTAACGCTGTTTAAGGAAATAATCGCTGTTTATTTTGATATTCATACGAAATACATACAAAATAAAGAGTTGATATTAAATATTTTGCATTATTCCAGATTTTTACATTTTCTGGGTTAGCCCACAGTCTTCAACGTTATCAATTTTTTTTTTCCTAGTTTAACTTTCGTGGTGTAAAGTCTATTTACAATTACACGAAAACGTTGGCAATCTGCAGTCCATACTCTTAAAATACAGCTAAACTTTAGTGGTGGAAACATAGAACAAAATAATTTAGATTATGCGAGATTTCACGTTCTCACGGCTACTAGCATGAAGATGGATGGCTTCTTGGATGTTTCGGGTTATACTCTGGTATAAATTGAAAGTCGTTTCGGGGGTGCTTACTATTTCCATCATCAGGAAATAAAACTATGTATAGATTAGTTGTATGTACTCTGGTAGGTAATATTACTTCTCTAACAGCGACTATTCCATTGACTTTCCATGTGCCAATTCTCTATAAACGTATACAAATGTAAGAAAAATGTTTTAAGTGACATAAATTTTTGAAGAAAACACAGCTGTCCGATAATACGGGTTGGATTATCTTCTCCTTGTGGTGTTCTCTGAAATAAGCGCCGATCTGCGCAAGCCGTACAAATTTTTCGTATTCCACGGTTATTCCGCCAGAGGCGCGCTCCTCTGACGCTTCTGCGCACAACCAAAGTTCCTGTCTCTTTCCAGCACAGCGCCCTGGCAATGGTGAAGTCGCTGGTTCGATATCCAAACTTCTCACTCGAGTATCGATAATAGAAGCTCATGTCGACGGTATTGCGACTATAAAAGTCAGCAAATATCAAAAGTCAAATTACTAATTAATACTGAACATGGAATGGTAAGAAAGGCCTTAGCAATGATTCATTCCACTTTATTTAACGCTAAGTTTGTGCCCTAATGTAAGGTAATACGCGGTATTTGCTAGCAGAACTAAGTAAAATCACCGTAGTCGGTATCCGGTTCGAGGTATTAACCCGGTACTTCTAGACTACAAATCAGAAGCCGCTACATCTGTAAG